AAATTTTAAATTCATCCTCTATAATGCATCTAATATTCAATTATTATCTAACATTTTAACTAAAATTCATTTTTAAAACAATTTTCATAAGTAAATTCTACGAGAATTCAATTATCTAAATACAAAATAATTGAATCCCAGAAAAGAATTTTATTATTTTTCAAAATAATTGAATTATTGCGAAGAATTTTATAAAAACTGTTTAAATAATTGAATTCTTTAGACGATTTCTAATGAAATTTTTAAGAATAATAGCATTTTTCGAGAAATACAATTTATTAAAATTAAATGAAAATTAATTTAAACTCTGCGATAAGTTTTATTATTTACAAAAATAATTAAATCCCTGAAAAGAATTTTAATATTTATAATAATATTAAAATTATTACGAAGAATTTTATACAAATTTTTTAAATAATTGTAATTCTTTTGACCAATTTTAAAAAAAATTTTTAACCTTCGCGCTACCAGATGGCCACCCAGGGTGGCCAAGCAATAAATAATGTTGTAAATCTGCTCGATTTTTGCATCAATCGAATCGCGATTTTAAGTCACTGAACAAAATTTTATCTACTTTCGAAAAATAAAATTTTTTTTACATTTCTTCTTGTTTATTTATAACAATTAAAAAACTATGTTCAACACTACTGAAAAACGTTCGGATGTTATTTTGTATATTGCAAAAAAATAAAAATGAAATCATGAAAGTTTCACAATAAAATTGTTTTATGTCAATAAATACAACATATTTTGATGTTACAATGAATTTTCTATTTGTTTAAACAAATTATTGTTGTTATTTACCAACTTTTTACAGAATGCACTTAGAAAGTTGCAGTTTTTTTCTAATTTTGCAATTTATTAATCTTATATGATCACAAATAAAGAGTAAAAATTGAATTATTATTTAAACAATTTTTAAACAAATTATTGTTGCTATTTACCAACTTTTTACAGAATACACCTAGAAAGTTGCAGTTTTTTCCTAATATTGCAATTTACTAAACCTTATATGATTATAAATAAAAAAATCAAAATTGAATTGTTATTTAAACCATTTTTAAACAAATTAATAATTCGTTTATAAATTGTAATATGTAATAATACAATAAAATTAGTAAATTTAAAAGTAAATTGCAAAATTAGGAAAAAACTGCAACTTTCTAGGTGTATTCTGTAAAAAGTTGGTAAATAGCAACAATAATTTGTTTTAAAATTGTTTAAATATTAATTCAATTTTTACTCTTTATTTGTGATCATATAAGATTTAGTAAATTGCAAAATTAGGAAAAAACTGCAACTTTCTAGGTGTATTCTGTAAAAAGTTGGTAAATAACAATAATAATTTGTTTAAATAATTTTTTACTAATATTTATGATTCGTTTCAATAAATATTTTCTTTAATTTATTGATTTAATACTAAGTAACGTTAAAAAAAGAAAAGTTTTCAAAAATTTTCTAATCTCTTTGTTTATTTGAAAATTATATGTTTTTGCAATAACAAATTTTTTAAACAATTATTGCAGTATGCATAAAACCTTTATTAAAATACAGCAACTGTATTAACACATAGTTATTTACAAAAAGTTTGATGAATTTTAATCGTTTTTGGAATATAAAAGTAAAAAAGCGTGTGGCCATCCGGTAGCACGCGTATACAAAAATCTTTGGTAGCGCGAAGGTTAAGAATAATTACATTTTTCGAGGAATTTGATTAAAATTGTATTAAAAAGAATTGAAATTGTGCGAAGAATTTTATTATTGATAGAAATAATTATAATTTAATTCTTTGGAAATTTTTTTCAATTTTTTTATTAAATAATTGAATTCTGTTTGGAAATTTTATGAAATTAGTATAGATATTGAAAATCATTGAATTGAAGAAAACTTTTGATAATAATTGAAATTTCGCCAAGAATTTTATATTATTTATAAAGAAATTGCCATTTTAACAGGAATTTTTAAAAATTTTTGAACATAATTTAATTTGTGAGAAGAATTTTATTACTTTTGAAAATAATTGAATTTCTCCAATCATTTGTAACTTCTCAAAAATTCAATTTTTTTTGGTGTTTTTAACTAAAATTCTTCTATAAATCCATTATTTTTAATAATCAATAAAATATGTATATTGAATAATTTAACTAATTTCAGAAGAATTTGAATTATTAAAATTTTTCGAATTGAAATTTTAAAAAATTTCAAATTAAAACCTTTTGAAATTCATTTAGTTATGAAAATTGTAAACGCATCTTTTTTAAAATTCAATTACACTCAGAGAAAAAGTTTATTTCACTTAACCAAACTGTTTAATTAACCTATTTTATTTGTCACGATAAAACAATTTTGTTGATTTAAATAAAAATTTGGTTGATTTTAATAAATACGTAAAATTTGTTTGGTTATTGGAAAGAAATTTTTTATTTGAAGTTGTTTGTTTCATTTAACCAAATTTGTGTTTTGAATAGAGAATATTGTTTAGTTAAATACAATTTGTTCGACGCAACACACAAATTTGTTTGATTCAACCAAATCATTTTATTTGAGTCAAACAAAAATATTTGCTTGTCTCAAAAAGTACATGTGTGAATTTAAAAATGACGATCTCACTTGTCTACAGTCCGCGTTCGCGTCAAATTTATTAGTTAAATCGGTAAATCAAAGAAAAAAATTATAAGTGTCGGTTAAATAAATACATTGTTTTCATTTTAGACTTACTGCGCATATTTAATTTGTACCATAGTGAGAAGAATATTTACAAAAAGGTTTTGTGAAGTTTTCAGTTGGTTGTTTTGAATAAACTTTTTTCTGAGTGCACGTATAAAAATCATAATTATAATATGTTTAATATAATATTTCAAATGTTTTTTATAATTAAGTAATTTTGTTTATATGAAGAAATACATATATATAATATTTTACTCAATTGTTATTTATTTTCCTCTAATAATGTTTGAGTTTCCTAATTTAATATTTTCTAGTATACATATTATTGGTTAATTTATAATTTATTATATGTATAATTTTAAAATATCAATAATTACATAATAAATTATAAATTAACCAATAATATGTACTAGAAAATATTAAATTGGGAAATTCAAATATTATTAGAAGAAAATAAATAAAAAAATTAAGTAAACAAAAATATTTATTTAAATGAACCAAATACGTTTACTAAAACTATTTATTTGAATCAAACAAATCTTTTCTCTTGAAATAAACAAATTTTTTAGTTATATTAAATAAATATTTTTGGTTAAGTGTAATAACCATTTGGTTAATACAAATAAACGTATTGGAAGAAATTATTTGGTTGAATCAAACAAACGTTTGGTTGACTGTATAGCAATGCATTTATTTGGTTGATTCAACCAAAATTTGGTTGTTTCGAACAAATTTTTTTCTGAGTGTAATTGCTGTTACATTTTTCGACACTTTTTTAACATTTTTTGGCACATTTTTACAATATTCTTCGTAAAAAGAAATTTTAATTAAAACATTGTATTGATTGAAATTAAGATTGGAATAAAGTCGACAAAGCCTGGTTAAAGAAATACGAGTATAGAATAAAACATGTTATTCCCACGCTGGGATGCTACCAACGACTTTCGCTATTATTCAACTCAATATGTATTACGAAACTATTAGATTCTACCATCTCCGAGATATTTTTCATAGGAGTGAATGAATTTTTCCGATTATTATATAATCCATCCTTTGATTTCTCAAGAAAGTTTCGAATCGTGATAAAGAATTCCATTCCAATGATAAAGAATATTATTATTCTTTAATATTATTATTCTTTATCTAGACCAATGAGTCAAAACACGTCAACCGTGAATAAAATTTTTTTATAGTTTTGGAAAAGTCAAAATATTTATGATAATCTGTAGTTCACAGCAAACCAAAAAAACACTTTTAATCGTTTTTCAAAATTTTAAATATTTATACCTTTTTTTATAATAAAAAATTTTTGTATTATTTAAGAAAAAAATTAATAACTCATTACTGTTTTGCTAGAAATTAATGGCAATTTTTTTGGTAGTCATTGAATATCCACTCTTTTAAATAAACTTAATTATGAAAAAAAATTTTGAAAAATTTTTAATTTTTAATAACAATTTTATAAACAATTAGTGTTTTTTATGATTTCTAGAGCAAAGATTTTAATGAAATTTATATGTAAGATACATTGAACCTACATCTTTATATTCCCGAAAAAAAATTTGTATTTCCAATTACAACCGGAGATTTTGAATTTTTTGTTGCGCCGTGCGCCGTCTGCTCGTTTATTGCGGCATTTATCACAGCGATGGATGCCGCACGGCGCAACAAAAAATTCAAAATCTCCGGTTGTAATTGGAAATACAAATTTTTTTTTTGGGAATATAAAGATGTAGGTTCAATGTATCTTACATATAAATTTCATAAAAATCCTTGCTCTAGAAATCATAAAAAACACTAATTGTTTATAAAATTGTTATTAAAGATTAAAAATTTTTCAAAATTTTTTTTCACAATTAAGTTTATTTAAAAGAGTGGATATTCAATGACTACCAAAAAAATTTCCATTAATTTCTAGCAAAACAGTAATGAGTTATTAATTTTTTTCTTAAATAATGCAAAAATTTTTTATTATAAAAAAAGGTATAAATATTTAAAATTTTGAAAAACGGTTAAAAGTGATTTTTTGGTTTGCTGTGAACTACAGATTTTCATAAATGTTTTGACTTTTCCAAAACTATAAAAAAATTTTATTCACGGTTGACGCGTTTTGACTCCAATATATTTTTAAAAGAATTGACAAGATTTATTTGTTATTCTTTGTTTTACAGTCAAAAAATTTCTATTTGCACAAAAAATAGTCAAACAAAGAATATTTTGAATCTTTTAATCCAAAACTCAATTATTACTATTTTTGATAAATCTCAAAAATGAAAAATTACAAAAATAAATATTTGAAAGAAACATTTAAATAAATATAGTGTATAAACGATGATTTTTCCGAGTGAAATTCATTATTGTCAAGAAGGCAAAGGAGTAGTCAAATGTTATATTACAATTGATTCAATTCAAAGACTAAATTATTACTAGTGGTGAAAGTAGCTGGTATGGGACCATCAATATTATAACACCTGTTCCCACTAAATACTGTCACCTGCAACGATCTCTGCGGGGGTTCACGTTGAAAAGGGTATGCTTCAAAGTATTACTGGTAAAAGTATTTTTCTTCTTACAACCTGCTTTAACTAGAATTTTAGACAATCGAGCTTAATGTATACACACTTTTGGTATATATAAATTATAGTCTGTCACAATTTGACAAATGCATTACTTTACACCCGACAATGGCACCCTTTCAAAAAAGGGTTTAATATTTCATTCGTTCAATTACAATATACAAAATTAAAATTTATCATAAAGAAACACTTTGATATTGTCGAAATCTGCCAGAGATAAAAAATCCCCACTCCTTTGCAGTCATCAATCAATTTTTATCGACTCAGTTTAGAATTTATTGATTCATACCGATTGTTTGTAGTTGTACTGAAAAGTGAGAGGAAATCAACTTTAATTCTGACATAATAATTTGCTTCAATGAATTACATAGAATCGAAAATAAATATTTACTAATAATAGAGGAAAAAAAGTAGAAATAAACAGGTCTCGGATCGACTTTAACGAGCAAAAAAGTCGTTTATTTAATTCACTGTTGTCACAAAAAAATTATTTATTATTTCCTTGATTCTTCACTGATTTCTAAATACAATTAATCAAAACTCGAATAATTTTGCTAAATAATTATTCAAATACTTCTTATTTCTTTTTTCATGGGAAATAAAATTTAAAAAATTTCCACTTCTGAAATTTATTAATTTCTAAAAATTACAACTATAACCCTTCCAAAATTCAATTATTTTCTACAATTTTGAACTAAACTTCATCTCTAAATCAATTATTATCTATATTAATTTTTAATAATTTTCCAAAAATTCTTCGAGAATTCAATAAATTATTTAAATACAAAAATTCAATTTTTTATAATAATTGAAACTGTCCATTTTTCTTTTTAAGAAAATTAAGGTAGAATATTTTCAAAAATTTTAATAAAAAAATTCTTAAAATTTTTTAAAAATATTTCTAAATAATTTTTGAAAGACAATATTTTTACAATTACATACAATTAAAAAATTTCCAAAAAAATTCAAATTTAGTAAATTCTTTAAAAACATAATTGAAATTTGGAAACATCTTTGAAAAATAATTGAAATTTGAAATTTAAATCTTAAATTTAAATTTAAATCTTTTTAAAATAATTGAGTTTTTAAAAAATATAAAAAAAATAATCAAATTTTTGAAGAATTTTAATTAAAAATGATTTCTCCAAAATTTTAATAAATCTAGAAAAGTAACTTTTAAAAAATTTTAATTTACTTTGTTCAAAGATAATTGAATCTTAAAAAATTGTGATAAAACACTTTGAAGAATTAGTTTTTTATGAAGATTGCAATGTAATTTTTCGAAAATGAATTTCTAAAAAGAATTTTTGTATAATTGAAAAAAAACTAATTAATTTTTTGAAGAATTTTAATTAAAAAATTGTATATTTCAAAAATTTAATTAGAAAAATTATTCAAAAATAAAATAAATAAAAAAAAATAAATAGAAATAAGTTGTATTTGATACTAAAAATGTGGTATTTTGTTGCAGAATTTGGAAGAAAAGTCGAAAAAGTCGCATTATGTGAAAATAGTCGAAAAAAGTCGAAAAAGTTTTAATATTCGAGGCCTGAATAAAAAAAAAATAAAAAAAGAAGAATACAAAATTTAGCAAAATGAGCAAAGATTAATTATTATACTTTACGGATTGGAAGCTTGGTCCACTTGGATTAAAGCAACTGGCGTCACATTTGTAACGGAAAACAGGATTGTTACAGTATCCACAATCAATTTTCTAAAATTAAATTTTCATTACGTGACTAGAAATCTAATTTTTTCGATTATTAATTATTATAAACCAATTAGTAATATTCATACCGGAGAAGGTTGATAGCAAGTGCACGGTTGTGGATAGCAGCATCCAACTCCAATTGGTCCTGGACCAAATCCAATTGTTATTTGCGGCAAAATAGACCACGGGAAACAGTTACATCCAGCTGAAAAACACAAATTATTTAATTTCTTCGTAAAATTTAATTTATATTACAATAATTTTATGTCACTATCAAAAAAGTTAGTCATCAAGTTTCAAAACGTAAAATTTATGTGTTTTTAATTTTTATCTTAATCAGTAATTTATGAAAATATTTTTAAATTAAAATTATATTTTTAATATTTTTAAATAAAAATATACTTTTAATATTTTCTTATCTTAGTAAAATTTATTTTATATATTTTTATATTTCTTTAAAATTTTACGTTTTTCTAAACTTTAGAATTAAGTTTCAAAAAATGATGGCAAAAGATAAAAATTTCTTACGACATCGACAGTTGGAGTTTTCGGATCCAGTATTAGGCAAATTGGTAATGATATTATTTATAGTAACTTTGGAAGCGTCACGAGAGCCATCATTATTTTCCGATGCAGAATTTCCAGTTGATTTTGTATTATTCTCATTGCAGTTCGATGAATTCAGACCAATTGTAATATTAACATTAGTGGTAATATTTGGAATTTTAGAATTGTCCAATTCCTTACACTTTCCACCAGCGCATTCATATTCTGTTTCCGTGACTTTGGAATAGGTTTCAGTAATTTTCTTCTTACACCGTGAATAACAATCGTGCACGCATTTCGAGGATGTACAATTTGCAACAATGCAATTATCCAGACAATTTTTACTAGACCCTGAAATAAAATCTTAACACATAACAACCTATTGTTTACATAATGAACTGTTAATTTTGCATGAGACACATTTTTTCCGTCAATTTAAAAAAAATTATAAACATGTAAATTTAATTTTCATTTAAATTTAATTTATTTAATTAAAGTATTTGTCATTATTACGTACCGGAAATTTCATAATGTCGTTTGTGTCTCTTTAAACATCGCAAATATGTCCGGTAATCGTCATTGTGACAGTCTTGAAGAACTTTATGATCACTACTACTTAAAGGTTGACTAACGTCAGAAAAATGATGGTCGTCAAGGGACGAAGTAAATTGTAAATTTACCAAAATCGCGAAAAAAATCACTACACTAAACTTCATGGCGAATTATGACGAAATGCTGGAGAAGTAAAAAAGCGACTTAGTTTTATAAAACCGAGTCTTTATTATCAGAGGGATCAGTCGAATTTCAGAACAGGTAAATGACCCTTAACTTTTTTTCTTCCGCATTTTATAACAAATGTTTGTAATAGCGATAGTCGTGGCTAATATTTAAAAGTGGGAATTTCTCGGAGAGCGAAGTGCGATAAAACAACAAATTTGCACCGATTATCTCTATCTCAAGCGAGAATTTATAATTTTTTAAATATATTTCATGGAAGCACGTTTCCATCCAAATACTTTAGTACTTATTTAAGTAAATTTTGTAGTATTTAGATTAAAATTAACTTTAAAAAAATATTCATGCGAAAAATCAAACGTAGTAAATATTTAAATATGAAGAATAATTATGATCGCAGACAATGTAAAAGGGTTAACAAACACAATAAAAACAAAGTCTTAAATTTAATGGTGGCTAGTTTTAATTTTTGACTTATCTTAAGCTATCAACTTTATTTAATCATAAAAACTAACTGAAAATTAAAGTTAGTTGCACTCTTACTTAAATAAAACTCAGTTTGTAATTTATTTGTAATACACCGGACTTAATTTCAGATCCAATGGTATTAATAAAAAGTTAGATGAAATTAACTTCTAATAAGGTACGCTAACAGCTGACTGTAAGTCTGGCAAGGCTGAAAAAGTTGATTGTGACGTCACAAGGGACGCAATTTGCAAACGTGAAAAGTCTGAATAGCGCGTCGCGTCGCCGGTTTGTCGGTTTACTTTTGACTCGTGTTTTATTAATAATATATAAGTCCATAAATTATATTTATAATTGGTGAATCTTAGACAGAAAGTTTAGTTTTATTAGTATGTTAATATTTTAATTCGATTATAAACAATAGTTTACAAACATTTTATAATCTTAATTTCACCTACACACTAAAAAAAAAGTTTTACTTTCAGCCTCTTTTTGAGGCTGAATTTAAGGTGTAAACGGAGTCAGCCCCGTTAAACAAGGACAGACTTATGTGAAATACATGGGCTGAATTTAAGGTGTAAACGGAGTCAGACTTTTTTTTTCCTGTGTAATATATATGTGCATTAGCATTTAATTCTTTATCTTAAAGAGAGAAATTTCCACTGATAGTTTTAATAATTGTTGTTTGTTATAAGAAATTAAATGTGACATATGTTTATTTTAATAAAATTCAAGAATATGAACATACACTGTAAAAACAAAGTCTTTCTCGAAATTTGTCTTTTTTCAAGGTGTAAACGGAAGACTCCCCAATTGATACAAGTAAGGTGTTAAATAAACTGAAATTCAACTGTAAGCTTGTAAGAAGGCTGAAATTTAGCTAGATGGTTTGGCTAAATTTTAGCCTTCTTACTAGCTTACAGTTGAATTTCAGTTCATTTAACACCTCACTTGTATCAATTGGGGAGTATTCTTTTTAAACTTCTAATCATTACTGACATTCAGCCAATATGGTCTACTTCCGTTTACACCTTGAAAAAAGACAAATTTCGGGCTTAAAGGAAGACTTTGTTTTTCCGGTACTCAAAAACCGCACTAACACTATTTTTACAAAAATATTAAAAATTTAATAACCACACAGACTCTATTTTTGAAAAATTCACTCCAATTATTTATAAACCGCACTGACATTTTTGTCTATTAATAAATCCGTGATTTAATTTTCGGAAATGACTAATTTGACTTGACCACGTATCTCTTGCCTTTTTATTTTGCAAAACTACTTCTTTGGTTTATTTAACTTGAATTTTTAATTTCTCATATCAACTGACGATTTTTGGCTTTCCTTCCTTCCTTCCTTTGATAAACCTAAACAAGTTGTAAATCCAGATGTTCATTACATGAACATTTTGCTTCCTCTTTCAGCAAAAAAATTAACGATAAATATATTTCATTTTTAAATCATTTTTAATACAATTTAACATTTATAAAATAAAGTTTATTCGTCTTAATAGAAAGAATAAAACTTTCTTATACAGTAATATGAATCTAAATAAACAAAAAATTTTTAGTAAAAAAGTGAATTTTTCAAATTTGATTGTAATTATTTCTATAATTTTCAATAGAATATATACTTTACATACATCAATCGATTCGTCTTGATGCAAAGAATAAGATTTTTGATTTATTTTTTAATAAATAATAACATTTTATTGTACAGCAACATGATTTTTAAGAAAATGAATTTTTATTAAAAGTGCAAATTTTTTGTCTATAATTGGTTTTAATTCTATAAATTTAAATACAATATATACTTTATATATACCAATCGATCCGTCTTGGTGCAAAGAATAAGATTTTAGAAACAAATGAGTAAGATTTTCTTATATGGCAACATAATTTTGCGGAAAGGACTCATTTTTTGATAAAAACGCGAATTTTTCAGCTTTAATTGTGATTAACTCTGTAAATTCTCATACAATTTATACTTTTTATATACCAATCGATTCGTCTTGATGCAAAGAATAAGATTTTATTATATATTAACTTCAATAACCAACTTAAAAAAAAATTTTTGAAAAAAAAATTGTTTTAGAAAAAAGTCAAAAAAAAAATTTTTTCTGAGAATTTTTTAAAGTTTATCAATCTATTTCGAGATATTTTTATGATAAATATACCTGGTAAATTTTAGCCAAATTCGTTAAAACCTCTTCGACTTATCGTGTTCACAAAAATCGGGATCCACACACACACACACACACACACATACACACACACATCCATACATACATCCGGACAATTGTTCAGGGTCTTATATAACATAGTCCTATATAGAAGAAAATTTGTTAAAAGGATTTTTAAAAATTTTGTAAATTAAACGACTACAAAGCTTCCTCACGAGGAAGCAAAAAAATAAATTGTAAATAACATTTTCTTATTCGACTTTTCTTAAAAATTGTTATTATATTCTTTACTTTAATTTTCAACACAAATAAAATTTAGTATCTTTATGACTCTTAATTTTAGATTTCAAATAAATTTAATTAAAAATTAAAAAATAAATTTAAAAAACATAAAAATAATTTTAAGTAATAGGTAATTACAATTATTTTTATAAATAAATAAAAATTTTTAATATTCAAGAGCTGAATAGACAGAACACAAAAGTGAAATTCCCTATCATCAAAGTAAAACCTTTTCCAGTTTAGCTTTAGGGAGATCCCCTCTTTTCAGGGACTTCCACATGTGTGTCTCGAACTTTTCTTGAACTCAAAACTACGAGCAAATTTTGGAATTAATATTTACCATAATAGTCAGGATTATCCAGAGGCAATTTTTTTTAATTGCAAAATAATTTTCATTTTCGAATATTTAAATTTCCATGATAAAAAAGTTCAAAAAACAATTCTTTAAAGACCAGGACTTATATTGTTGTTATAGAGCTCACAAAACATGGAAAAACAGAAAGGCATCTGAAAAATAAATGTTAATACTGAATTCGTTTTGTTTTAGTAAGCCGGAGGAGTAAAATTTATTTACGAAAAAACGACTTATATTACACGGAAAAAAATTAATCTCTAAACTTGAAATAATATTAATTTGAAGTCCAGTGAAATATAAGTGTATCTAAATTAAACATTATAGTCACAATTACTGTGATAAGTTGTGTTTGATTCTGTCAAACTTTATACCAGAAAACGCCATAAATTCACATCTCTGATTTAGAGATTTGTTAATTTCACAACTTTTTTTATATGAATTAGGTACATTGGGTTTTTAAGTTAATCAGTGACAAAAAAGATTTAAACCATTTTAATTAATTATTAATTTTATTTTCAAATATCCAAATAAAAGCGAAGGTCTGTGAAATTTTAAGGTTACAATTGTCGCCCGACAAAATACGGCACTGACTGATTTAAATGACGTGAAATAGGTACCTATTGAAAATCCCCATATGGGAAACCACATGAGATCCTATGTCAAAAACCATGTAAAACCCTACTTCCATGAAGGAAACCAAGTGGGTTAACCATGTGGTTTTCCATGTCAAACCATATGGGAAATTGAGACAGGATTTTAGTTAGGAATAGACATGGGAAATTTGAACAGTTCATCTATGCATAAAACCATATCAAATCCCACATGTTTTTCCCAGTCAAATCCTAAACCGAATCCCATGTGAAAACAGTATCATTTATTTATAATTATTTTCTCAAGTCAATCCCCAAGTGAAAAAAGTATCATTTATTTATAATTATTTTCCCATGTCAAATCCTAAACCAAATCCCATGTGAAAAACATTATCCGCCTTATTGAATATCCCTACATGGGAATCCACTTGGAATTTTACAAGGGATTTCACATAGGACTTTATATGGGAATTGACATAGGATTTCATGCCAGATTTCACTTAGGATTTAATATGAGATATCACATAGTATTTTATTAAAGATCCAATGAAGAAATTTTCAAAGGATTAAAAATTATTTAATAAAAAATTAAATAATAAATAGTATTAGTGTTACAAGTCATCAAAAAAGTAAAAAAACGATCATTTGAAACACGTCCTCTCTGCTACAGGTTCTCAGCTTTTATATACTTCCAGAGTCGTCTCAACAGCGAGAGAAGTCACTTTCGCCACCTAGCGGTGAAAGTATAGGAGCGACAGTAATCTTTATCATTACTAAGGAAACCATGTGGAATACCACGTAGGATTCCATGTGGTTTCCTACGTGGGGATTTACATGGGATTTTACTTAGGAATTTAAGTAGAAATAAATTCCCAAATGAATCCCTAAGTAAAATCCCATGTAAATCCCCACGTAGGAAACCACATGGAATCCTACGTGGTATTCCACATGGTTTCCTTAGTAATGATAAAGATTACTGTCGCTCCTATACTTTCGCCTCTAGGTGGCGAAAGTGACTTCCCTCGCTGTTGAGAAGATTCTGGAAGTATATAAAAGCTGAGAACCTGTAGCAGAGAGGACGTGTTTCAAATGATCGTTTTTTTACTTTTTTGATGACTTGTAACACTAATACGATTTATTATTTAATTTTTTATTAAATAATTTTTAATCCTTTGAAAATTTCTTCATTAGATCTTTAATAAAATACTATGTCATATCTCATATTAAATCCTAGGTGAAATCTTGCATGAAATCCTATG